GTCATACAGCTGGAATATTGCTGAGTGCAGCGAAAACAACGCACGCACGCACACACTTTTTCTGGTTAATGGATGAAGATTGGATACTTGACCATGTAGATTTATTCATTGAAACAAAATTGTATATCTAAGAACATCACATTCATGAGTTACGAAACGTTTCATTACCAATTCAATATTATAGATCTAGAGACATGTAATGCAGCTCCAATTAGAAGCTTTTTAAGCATCTCCTATCTGATCTACTGGAAAAATAACGATCAAAGGGAATCGACCAGGTCTTTGACAATCCATGTATACAAAATCAATACAGATTTACTGTACTTTGTGTGGTGTCAGAAGAATAGAGGAGCAGAGGGGAGGAGATTAAACTTGGAAGGATCTCGGATAGCAGTGATTGAGTGGGTATGGTTTTTACGCCGCTTTCAGCAATATTCCAGCAATATCACGGCGGGGGACACCGCGAATGGGCTTCACACATTGTACCCATGTGGGGAATCGAACCCGGGTCTTCGGCGTGATGCGCGAACGTTTTAACCACTAGGATAGAAGAATAAACAACGATCGGACAAAGGAGTATACACTTGAAAATTGGATTGGAACAAAAAATTACAAACGTTAATAGGCTGAAAACCGTCGCCGAAACACTGCGAATTTAGGTCAAAACACTAATATGATTCCCGTATCCAATACGTAACCATCGAATAACCATTTCTTGTTTTGTTAGCCGCCGTAAAATATGGGCGAATTTATTTTCTTTTGTCCGGCAGTTTATAAATCTTGAGTAAGTGAGTTCGGTTTAACACCGTTTTCTACAGAATTCCATTTATATCACGGTGTATCAGTTTAATGTGGGGGGAAGGCCCGAAGTGATGCAGGTCTTTATCATTAACTATGTTTGTTTGTATAAAAACTAACGTAGGTTTTCCAATGGCATTTCGAACTTGCATAGTACAGTCTTTTGGTATAAAGCTAAAAATGTAGGCTACACAGTGTTGTCGACACCAGCAACAAAAGCATCTCTATTATCATAAGAAATACAAGCGGCCATTGTACGATTCCGACTATATCAAGAGCACGTGTCTATGAATAACTATCAAATAGTGATTATACTAGGTTTTCGAGAAAAGTGAAGACATCATTCCCAATCAGTGGCCCCCGTCACAAACACATGCAAAGGCAGACAATTAATCTCCAGGAAAGCTACATTGTGATATCTGTCAGATTTCAAGGGACACATCCTCCTATGACAAAGACCATCATAAAGGCTTTTAGCTCCTTTTGGCTGATTGTGTGTCGTCGTTGGCTGATTATCTGTCCCCACGGGGATTGCGTGGATCGATGCTCATGCTTTATTTCATGATTATTTCCATACCGCCGTGACGTACATGAAGCTCACATCTACAGACCAACACACATTCATAGGTTTGTAAAGGCGACTATGCTTGTCGTAAGAGGCGACTAACGGAATCGGGTGGTCAGGCTCGCTGACTTGATAGATGCATGTCATCGATCCCAATTGCGTGGATCGATGCGTATGATGTCGATTACTGGATTGTCTGGTCCAGACTCGATTATTTACAGACCAACGCCATATAGCTGGAATTTTGCTGAGTGCGGCGTTAAACAACGATCAAACAAACAAACAAACAAAACACAAACTCTTTCATTAGTAACACCGACGTCGATACCAAGATTCGTACCCAAATGAATTCAAAGCCAAATCAGTCCTCAAATCTCATCAATGTTAATTTATATTCGATAAGTCTTACATTGGAAACAAGCCCAGAACATGTCTATAGTCAGCGTCTTTGTACTATTTACTGGTATATATTATTGACCCGTGAAACTGAACACATATGTAGTTTCATGCCACACCTCCGCGGTCCCAATCTAATTTAACAGATTTTAAGACCCAAATTATGTATACAATGCAATCTCAAGTTCATGAAAAATTAATTGTCATGATTGTTGAAAGTTAATAACTCGAAGAAACATTGTTTCGTCTCGATGAAATGCACCGATTGACCACATTGATCATTCAGGCAACTGTCTGCCTTTGGAGACAACACACTAAAACTACGGTTATAACTAACACGCTTATAACGAACTGACGGGTATGACGTACTCTTTTTGGTCCCGTATATTTACTGTATATATATGATGTACGTATGCTTTCAACTAAGTACGGTTATAACGAACACGCTTATAACGAACTGATTGATATAACGAATATTTTTAGTCCCGTCTATTTGCTGTATATATGGTGTACATATGCTTACAACGAACTACGGTTATAACGAACTAATATTAATGGTTCCTTTGAGTTCGTATTACCCGTAGTTTATAAGTTAATAACTTGATTGGCTTCAGCCACTGTGTGTGACCAAAGCGTGTTTGCCTGATAACGCCAAATATACGATAGCTACGCGATAAATTGCTAAGAACAAAGAAAAACGAAGCGTTGTTTATTTCACGATAAAACATTGTTCTATTATGACGTCATTTCTAGAGATTCGAACATGCGCTCGCAAATTGATGACGTCGTAAATTGACAGGAAGTGTCCAGTGAGATGTTCCCCATAGATGTAGCTGGACAGCGCAGTTGAACGCAGTGGCCGAACGACCCAAAAGTGGGAGAGATATGTATTAGTGTTGGGAGAAAAGGTGCAGATAATCGCCGTGAGGATTGTGAGAATACCAAACTTAAATCCCCCTGTACATAAAATTGAGTTGTCCGACATTGCCGAGGTCGGATTGTATTCAGGTCATCATTATTTCAATACGGGTTAATGTTTTCAAAGCTTGTACAATTTATTGACATCCTAAAATGAGGCTTTACGAAATGTTGATATCTCACATAAGAAATTAACAACTCCTACTCGTCGTTTTTTTGGTATTTTGAAGAGGAATGTGTGAGGAAAGTGATACAAGTTTACTGCTTAAAACCCAAGGATTACAATAATGGCAAATGACAGATTCCAATCCACTTACATAGGATCCTGGCATGTCTAAGGGACGCAATTCTGCAAGAAGGTCAACGTAATTTGTATCAAGGTACAAGCATTTTTCCGATATTTTTTTCTCGATAGACCGTATCCTGATTTGTGGGTTTAACGAAACTGAAAAACATCAATGTTTTGTATCCATTGGTCTCCCCTTTCATCCTGAGGCCGCCTCTGTGGTCCAGAGGATGGAGCGTCCCCCCGGAGAGTGGAAAGTTATTCAAACCAAAAACGTTAATAGATGGTGCTTATTTTTACACTGCTTGGTGCTCGGCATTTAGGGGATAAAACAAAGACTGGTCGTCTCGGAAACAGTATACTGTGTCTGAGTGGGGTAAACTGAAGCATATCTCAGTGGGCTTGCACTATAAAACCGGACTTGTACATGCACATGCACGCACACGCACATACACACGTGCACGCATGCATACATGCACTTCGTTATACAAGTGTAAGCATCTTGAGCCAACGTTCAACCCCTCTTCACGACACCCCCTCCTTTCATCCTGACCTTTTTGTTTGTTTGTTTCTTTGTTTCTTTGTTTGTTTGTTGTCTCAATCGAAAAAAAAAGTGCAGCTGTATGACGGCAACCTGTAAATATTCTTGTCTGGACCAGACAAACCCGTGATCGATTTTAATAGCAACGTCCCACGCAGAGAATCACGTCACCGATCAACTAATCGCCTCTTCTGACAAGCATAGATTGCTGAGGCCAATTGTAACCCGAAAGCCCCACGGAGTAACCCTAACATGTATACAATATAAAATGTACTCTCGTGCACTTAATAAGATTTTTAGGGTTATAAATGATGTAATGGTTCCAAACCCCAAGTGTGTATTTCGTGTCAACAACTTTCCGCTTTTGAAATGTTCCATCGATTTGGCTCAATAGTTTTAGCTGAGCAGTTCCGTTATCTCACGGCGTGTCAGCTGAAGTGCTTAAGCCTGAAGTCCTGAACATATGAGACGTCTACTGCCTTGGTGAAACCAACGATCGACCCATGAAGATCCGGGGTAGAAAAGGTCTTCAGCAACTCATGCTTGCTGTAAAAAGCGACTGTGTTTGTGGTAAGAGGCGACTAACGGGATCGGGTGGTCATGCTCGCTGACTTGGTTGATGCATGTCATCGTATCCCATTTGTGTGGATCGATGCTTCTGATGTCAATCACTGGATAGTCTGGTCTAGAAACGATTATTTACAGACCGCCGTCACATAGCTGGAATATTGCTGAGTGCGGCGATAAACAACAAACAAACAAACCAACGATCACAGGTATGGTGCTGACAAGCCCAGAAACATAATCACGGCGATCCATCGAACGACTCGAACCCACGTTTAAACGATCCTGCAATGCACAAGGGACGTAACTCCGCACCGCGAATTAGACGGCTAACATTTTCCTTCCCTACGTGCATCAAATAAACTATTATTAACCCAGAAATTGAGAAGACTATACCTTTTAGTCAGTGAATAAATTGGAGTTAGGCTTAACTCCGCTTTGATCAGTATTTCAATTATACAACATATCACGGCGGCTGTTACACATATATAATCTTGTTATTTCACAGTCTTCCAGCCATCGAATGTCCAGTTATCCGTATTTCGAGACAAGCGGGATGAAGCTATTACACTGCGGTGCTTATACAGATCCGACGGGGTCATAACACTACACCGTCTTAAATGACGTTAACAAGGGTGTTATTGTACTTCAAATTAACGAAGTTATTACAGAGTCTAAAATCAAGAGATTCAATAGTTAATAGTTACACAATATTGTCCAAACTGCTTTTGGAATATTAAAATAAACTATTGCTGTGCCTATCGAATTTAAAATATACCTATGTTATCCATTGAACTTGAACTTGTACCCAACTTTAATATGCTGCCAAGCACAAGCCACATGGATTCGGAGCCGCAACCCGTCTAAGCGCCATCACTGAACACGTATGTATGGACGAAACATGTTTGAATATTGATTGCTAGTCGCTTCATAGCCCCAGCAGCACACAGCAGGGTGGGGAGTTCACATGCAGATACCCGTTGCATGTCCACAAGATCACTTATGCACCAGGACGTACTTTATAACACAGGTACCAGAAGATACGTTATCACATAGGTACCCGGAGGTACGTTATAACATACGCACCCGGACCTACTTTATAACATAGGTACCAGGACCTACTTTATAACATTGGTAGCAGTGGGGGCATTATTGCAGAAGTACCAAACGTGCTTTATCAGAAGTACCAGGAATTTATCACATTTGTGCTGGAACACCGTACTTTATTACAGAGGTACGTAAACTTACCTTATCAGATTGGTACCACGAGTGCACAGTATGCACCAGGAGATATAGGTTACAGGACTTACTTCATCAGTTCAAGTGTTCATCACATTGGTGCCACGAGTGCACAGTATGCACCAGGAGATATAGGTTAAAGGACTTACTTCATCATTTCAAGTGTTTATCACATTGGTGCCACGAGTGCACAGTATGCACCAGGAGGTATAGGTTACAGGACTTACTTCATCATTTCAAGTGTTCATCACATTGGTGCCACGAGTGCACAGTATGCACCAGGAGATATAGGTTAAAGGACTTACTTCATCATTTCAAGTGTTTATCACATTGGTGCCAGGGATTATCACATTCGTACCAGGAGACCAAGTAGATACCAGGGATTCATCAAATGCTTCACGGAAACCTGATATGATGGATGCAAGAACACTCAAGGTAAGATTAGGTCTTCGTAATTCTTTAAATTAGGCAGCTTCTTCTAAACGAATTGAATGTATAAAGTTTATCGTATTTAATTTCCTTCACGGGTTGAATAAGTAACCTTTTTTCCAAATGAATTTAAGCCGCGTTGTCTCTAAACTCTTGCCCCGCGCACACATGTGGGTTCATATTGATAGGGATGTTTTGGTCTCTCAACGTTCGTCAGCACTACACGCGTGTACATTCATTCATAATACTACTGCACATGCATGTTTTGTAAATCATTTGGGTACGAATCTTAGTATCGACGTCGGAGTTTACTAATGAGAGAGTGTGTGTTTTGTTAGTTTGTTTGTTTGTTTGTTTGTTGCTTGACGCCGCACTCAGCAATATTTTAGCTATATGACGGCGGTCTGAAAATAATCGAGTCTGGACCAGACAATCCAGGGATTGACGTCATGAGCATCGATCCACGGAATTGGGATACGATGACATGCATCAACCAAGTCAGCGAGCCTGACCACCCGATCCCGTCAGTCGCATCTTACGATAAGCACGGGTTGCTGAAGACCACGGGTCTACATGCATGTCAATTGTTACATAACTCAGGCATTTTTAATAAAAACATATTTATTTTGAAATTATTTGTTTGGGTGGTTTTGGTGGGGGGTTAGATGTTTTCAGTTGGCGTTCAAATGGTTATCATTGGGGTCATGAGGGCCATCAGTTGGGATTTAAAGGGCTATCAGATTGGATCGTGAGGGTTATCGAGTGTGGTTGAGGGTTATTAGTTCAGATGGTTCAGATAATTATCAGCTCTTACCGCTGTCGATAACATGACCAAAGGTAACATCGATTACCAGAGTATACCAATAACTTCAAACGTGTATAGCACGTAGCATAACCCTGCATCAGCAGCCAGATTTGTCTCCCCCGGGATACACGGTGTAGATGTCTGAATGGTCATCTGGCTGTTTCATCACTCTTGACCTGGGGTCATCCCAACAGACTCGGGGCCACCATGCATACAAAGGAAACCATTAACACCACGCTCGTTAGATTGTTGGTGCGGAACAAACCACAAATGCTTCCATGCATTCCGTTAATAATGAAATCGTTATCATTTTGTACGCTGAATTAACTTAATGACGCATTCGTAAATAATTTAGTCATTCGTGAACTTGTATCCAACTTTACCATTTCCGTGTGGCATCACGTCTTGAGTACACTCCTTGATGTAACCGAAATGTTCCTACACGAGCTCTACAAACCTTACAAGAGCTGTACAAACCCTACAAGAGCTCTACAAACCTTACAAGAGCTGTACAAACCCTGAAAGAGCTGTGCAAATCCTACAAGAGCTGTACAAACCTTACAAGAGCCGTACTAACCCTGCAAGAGCTGTACAAACCCTACAAGAGCTGTGCAAACCCTAAAATAGCTTACAAACCCTCCAAGAGCTGTACAAACCCTGCAAGAGCTGTGCAAATCCTACAAGAGCTGTACAAACCTTACAAGAGCTGTACAAACCCTACAAGAGTTGTGCAAACCCTAAAATAGCTTACAAACCCTGGAAGAGCTGTACAAACCTTACGAGAGCTGTACAAACCTTACAAGAGCTGTACAAACCCTACAAGAGTTGTGCAAACCCTAAAATAGCTTACAAACCCTGGAAGAGCTGTACAAACCTTACGAGAGCTGTACAAACCTTACAAGAGCTGTACAAACCCTACAAGAGTTGTGCAAACCCTAAAATAGCTTACAAACCCTGGAAGAGCTGTACAAACCTTACGAGAGCTGTACAAACCTTACAAGAGCTGTACAAATTTACAAGAGCTGTACAAACCTTACAAGAGCTGTACAAACCTTACAAGAGCTCTACAAACCTTACAAGAGCTGTACTAACCCTGCAAGAGCTCTTCAAACCTTACAAGAGCTGTACTTATCCTGCAAGAGCTGTACAAACCCTACAAGAGTTGTGCAAACCCTAAAATAGCTTACAAACCCTGGAAGAGCTGTACAAACCTTACGAGAGCTGTACAAACCTTACAAGAGCTGTACAAATTTACAAGAGCTGTACAAACCTTACAAGAGCTGTACAAACCTTACAAGAGCTCTACAAACCTTACAAGAGCTGTACTAACCCTGCAAGAGCTCTTCAAACCTTACAAGAGCTGTACTTATCCTGCAAGAGCTGTACAAACCCTACAAGAGCTGTGCAAACCCTAAAATAGCTTACAAACCCTGCAAGAGCTGTACAAAGCCTGCAAGCGCTGTACAAACCCTACAAGGGATGTACAAACCATGCAAGAGCTGTACAAACCTTACAAAATCTGTACAAACCCTACAAGAGCTGTACAAACCTTACAAGAGCTGTCCAATCAATCACAATCAATCACAGGATTGTCTGGTCAAGGCTCGATTATATTCAGGCCGCCGTCATACAGCTGGGACGTTGCTCAGTACGACAAAACATATCTTATGCAAGCAATCAACATCTGAGCCTGAATCAGCAAATAAAATTGAACCTTTTCAAGATCTGGGCGATGAGAAGACAAATGAGATGAATTTAAGAAGAGCCTCGCTCTCTTTCATCCCCGTGTAGGCTCTATGGGAGGACCATCTCCCCCTTTATATTCTCCCAACAATTATTACGGGCAAAATTTATCAACGATAAACAGATCACATGGTTTTAGTTCCACCCGGAACAAATATTGCTAATGTAAATGTATCTCGCCCAGTGCAATTGTAGCAGGTGTATGATTCAACTCTTCTGTTGTTGCATCCGTGGCTGCTATCCACATGTTCTGGACAACACCTTGAGGGAGGTGAAAGGCCAGCAGGTGTATGGTTCCACTGTCCTGGATAATCCCTGTGCTGGACAGCTAAGGCTAGGTCCTGGGTCTTCCTCCAAATGAACTGAAGAGTGAATCTAACAACCCTTCACTTCAGCATTGGCGAACTCCATCTCAAGCGTACGGATTGCTGCCAGTTCCATGTCAATCTGGACATGGTCAAGGGCGAAGGGACGGCTGAGTTTCAGTTGAATATTGTTCTTGAGTAGGATGAGGAGCCTTATCCATGTGTCAACGGTTATCAGTTCCACATGGAATTAGTAAAACCAATATTGCCAGTGTAATTGTATCCCGTACGCTTAGCTAACAAATTTTCAGTGATTTGAAGAAACCAACTTGCACATAAAAAGTCCAGATCCAACCCATCTGTGGAATCCGCCATCGATCTGAGAACCCGCCACGGATGAAAGTCCTACCATACCATAGATCTGAGTGATATGCATAATTATATACATAGTGTGGGAACAATCGGGTGGTCAGGCTCGCTGACTTGGCTGATGCATGCCATCGTATCCCAATTGCGTGGATCGATGCTCATGATATGTACAAGCTAATTGCAAATGAACCAAAATCGTTAGCCTCCCTTTGTTTGTGTAGGATGCTGTTAATGACAATCGCGAAGAGCAGGGTGTAGATTGTTTTCCTTGGCCCATATTCCACTGATGAGCTCGACGTAGTTGAAATCAGAGACAATGTTACCATAATGCAATCTTTGTCACGTTGCCACTACCATTCCATGAAGATCCGGGTTAGAATTGATCTTCAGCAAACCATGCTTGTTGCAAGATGCCTCTACGGGATCGGGAGGTCGGGCTTGCGTAGATCGATGCTCATGATGTCAAACACTGGATTGTCTGGTCCAGACGCAATTATTTACAGACCAGCGTCATATAGCTGGAATATTGCTGAGTGCGGCGTTAAACAACAAACACACGCACGCATACATACACATACATACACACACACACACACACACACACACACACACACACACACACACACACACACAGAGAGAAAAAACAGAACAATGGAACAATTTCACTGCAGGAACAGGTACTGTTTGACATAAACGGGCGTTGATCTGGAGACTTGGTTTCACGGTTTGGTCAGAGATGAAGGTGCCGTTCATGTAGATGGTGTCAGCTGACTGAAGTGCCTGGAACTGCTCTGTTTTGTCCTAAATCTTAATATCTTAACCGTACGTTGACTTCAACAGTATTTTACGTTTATGGAGCAATGAACATAAAAGCCTGTGGCCATACTCCATTAACGCAAAACAATATTGAAGTCACTTTCTAAATAAATACGTGAACAATAATGCCTTTTCAAACTCCTTTTAATCAGTAGCACACAGGGGCGGTCGGGTAGCCTAGTGGTTAAAGCGTTCGCTCGCCACGCCGAAGACCCGGGTTCGATTCCCGAAATGGGTACAATGGTTGAAGCCCATTTCTGGTGTCCCCTGCCGTGATATTGCTGAAATATTGCTAAAAGCGGCGTAAAACCATACTCATTCACTCACTCATTAGCACACAGAAAACTGTAGACAACACTACGGAAGCAGTGACATCATTCTACCCCAAAACGCGACAAAAGACGCATTCATCGGCCAATTAGGCAACAGTAGCACAGTAGTTATGTTCTGGCATCAAATACTTACGTGTTATGAAGTGGAACTTAAATGGCCCCTGTCTAATGCACGGTATATGTACAAATGGTCCCGATAAGAACAACTAAGGAGTCACACTTAAATTTAATACATATTCGACTGCGCTAAAACTTGCCTTTGTGTAAAGAGCTGTGTATGTGTCATCTCAATCCATTATTCATATCCTTTCAAGGAATAGTTTTTATACTGTAACGAAGACATTCCAGACTGGCATGTCAGCTTCATGTGGGAGGAGAACCCGACTTCTACTATTGTCTTACTGTTGTAAGTGACAGGGCAGTCAACAACTTTCAGTTCACAAATCAAGTCTCACCGCACCAGTGGTGGCCCAGTCGTCTAAGGCGCCGCGATTCTCTGTGCGGAGTTGCGTCCCGTGGGCACGCCAGAAACCTATGATTGTGGGTTCGAATCCCGGTTCGCCCCGATTATGTTTCTAGGTTTGTCAGCACCATACCCATGCTCGTAGGTTTCACCGAAGCGGTAAACGTCTGAGA